TGAAAGCCAAGTATGCTGCTGCCACGGGGGGCCCTCCTCCAACTCCCCTGCCGAACATGGAGAGGATGACCCTGAAGAACAGGATCTCACTTATGGATGGACCAGAGCCCACCTTGCCCTCCATCCGCCTCCCACCAGGCCCCAGGCGTTGCAGTGATGGTAACACCTATGGCTACCCGTCAGCTGCAGCGTTTCCCCATGAGGTGCCGGGCAACTGCACGAGGCGGGCAAGCGACCCAGTGAGGAGACCTGCCGGAGACCCCCAGGCCCTCCCACGAGTTCACCGCTTCAACAGCACCAGCAGCATGAACCCCTTCCATCCTCCACACCCTGCGGACAGGAGGAATTTTGGCCTCCAGAGCTATGGTCACTCGGACGGGAGTCTCCCCCGGCACACCTACTCACCCCGGCCGCTGAGCATCAGCGAAAATGTCGCCATGGAAGCCATGTCCGGGGAGGCAGAGGTGCCTGTTGGAGACGATGACATTATGCTGCCAGATGACGTGGTGCAGTACATCAAATCCCAGAGCAATGGGACGGTGGCCGAGAGCACTTCCATGGGGTACAGCAATGAGATGCAGAGCTTCCAGGGAAGCGGGAAGCTGCAGCCTCCAGCCTTGCCCGGCCAGCGCAGGATGGCGGTCGCTGAGGCAAGCATGAGCCACTTGGGACCCATGATGGCAGAGTGTCCCATGAGCTTTGATGCTTCCTCAGACATGAATAAAAATAACATGCCCGTCCAGTGGAACGAAGTCAGCTCGGGTACAGTTGATATCATGTCCAATCAGTCAAAGCAGCAGTTTTCGCAAGGGAACTTAGCGGTGGTCCAGCAGAAGCAGAACTTCGGCCAGTACCAGAACTACAACCAGCAGCAGATGCAGCTGCCAGAGAACAGTATGAACGTAACACAGCAGAGCTTTATGCAAAGAAATGTGGGCATGGACGGGCAGAGGCTAAACTGTATGCAGCTGCGGCAGCAGCCAATGAGCCTAGGCCCTGGTATGAACCACGATCTGGGTTTGCACACAGGGTATAACCAACCTCATCAGATGCTGAGCCCCAGTGCAATCAGTGGCAACCCAAATCAGATCTCTCCGTCTTGTAGCAGCATGGCAGCAAAGTCCGGACCCCACCTTCACCCTCAGCAAATGGACATGGCGACCGACCCTTCTTTAATGGTCGGCAGCAACAGTGAGCGCACGATGCTGGGCCAGGTCATGCACGAACCAAGTCAGCAGAACTACTCATCTCAGCCAACCCACCTGAACTTCCCCATGGCTCAGGAGGCCTTTCATCAGCCCATCATGACCTCCAACCAGCCCAGCTTTGAGCCTCAGCAGAGCATGATGGGCTCAGCCACGCAGGCATATCCGCCTGGCATGGTCCAGCCTCGTCCTCCGCCCGAGCCGAGCCCGGCCAGCAGACCCCGAGGCCTCCGCACCGTCCAGCAGCTGGGCTACATGAGAACTCCCCACCCTACAAACACCATCAGCCCGGGCCAGGAGGTGGCGGAGGCCACGCATAAAAGAACTGGCGACATGTTGCCAGCACCAGCCCAGCAGTGTGCGGACGGCACGAGGGAAAACAATTTGATGTACTATTATGGTCAAATCCACATGTACGAACAGAACAGCAGCTTCGATAATCACGCAGACTGCCGGGTCAGACAGCAGCAGTGCGCGCTGAACAGCAAGCCGGCCGCTCTGCCTTCCCCGGGCGCGAACCAGGTGTCCAGCACGGTGGACTCGCAAGGTCTTGAGCCGCCCCAGATAGATTTTGATGCCATCATGGACGATGGGGACCATTCGAGCCTGATGTCGGGAACCCTGAGCCCCAGCATCCTGCAGAACCTCTCCCAGAACTCCTCTCGCCTGACGACTCCACGAAACTCTCTGACACTGCCCACCATACCCGCGGGAATAAGCAATATGGCAATAGGCGATATGAGCTCCATGCTAACCACGCTGGCGGAAGAGAGTAAATTTCTAAACATGATGTCATAACAGTAAAGCACAAGGCCTTAGCGCTATCCAAGGGGCTGTGCGTGAAGCAGTTTTATGAATGTGCTTTTCAAAAATAATCTGTTTCAATAGAGTAGATTTTTTTTATAAGTATTAAATACATTAAAGGGATTCAAAATGAAAATTTTAAAAAGTCTCTGTACAGAATTATGTAAACTATATCCAGGCTGTTTAGCACCGCAAGGGTGCACCTCTAGTGTTATTTTTTGGCTTGGTTTCCCAGAGCACTGAACGATATCACCACCAAGCTAGGAGACTGCATGAGCGTGGTTAGAGATGAAACCCTCCCTCCCCGGCAGCCCTGTAAATAGCACTCCCCATCATTTTCCATTAGTTACGTTCGCAAGAAATTCCATTTTCAACCCACCCCAGGAAGAAACGGGAGGATGCGGTTTTGATCAGAATAAAAGCCATACTATGTATTCTGCTCTGATGAGAGTAGGGTTTAGTTACGTCTCCAAACAAGCCCTCTGCCAGCAGTATTGTTTTATACCATAACTACCTTTGTTCCTTGCAAAGAGCGTTGATTCCAAACGGCTTCTCAGCAAAGTGCCTTACCATGCTTTCGTGTTAAGTAGCCAAGGCCTCTCTTCCTTTAAAAATCAAATATAGTGTATTGCCAGAAGCGTATATAAAATGTACATTTATAAAAACATAGTGGTGTTTCTGAGAAAACATTGGAAAGACACATTGATGAGACACATAAAAGGTGAATGCGCACTTTGATCAGATGTGTTTACAACGTGGTTTATATCATGTGCAGAGTGGAGCAGAGGCCTGGGAACACCAATCACTGGGAAATAATCCCCCGTGGCAGGAAGGCTCCGGCGTGCAGATTGACACACACGCATAACTTCGCACCCCCTGAGCGCAGTGCCTCTCTGCCGGGGCCCCGCATGCATCTTTAATGTCAGGTTTCCGAGGCACGCATTACCATATCCCTGTGTGGCTTTGCAACGGCTTCGCTTTCTGTTGGATTTTCCATGCTAAGGTGCTCACATGCAAAAGTGATGGTGACGGAGAGAGTTTTATGATCATTTCAGCCCGGTCTGCACTGTGGCAGCGTTGTGGGAGCTGGTTTATCTGGCCAGGGTTCGTCTGTGTAGTATACTCCATGCAGGGCTCTGCCTGGGCTCCCTGCGCGCAACGCGTGGCTGCACTGATGTGAGGCCAGGCGTGAGCTAATGCACCCTGCCCTGCAGGGAGGCTCGTTGGCATGTACCCAGTGCTGCAATAACATGTCCCACAGCTTTGGTCAGCATGAAAAGAGCTGCTGTATCCAAAAAATATACCATGGACAACTCGGGGCGTTAGTGTGGCCAGTGCTTTGTGCTACAGCATATAGCTACTCTTTGTACTAGCCTGGTTCAGTTCAGCACTGCACCTGCAGTCTGCAGCGTAGGCACACATCGCGATAGTATCAAAACAGGTATTTGAGTCAAAATAGTAGCTTGGTCAGTGAGAATCTCTTGGAAACGTCCTTGGGGCAGAGATGGGAGGAGCAGGGCCTCCCAAAGCCAAATCCTCCACCAAAATATAACTGCTGGTAATAATGATCAGCTGTTTCCAGGCCAGTCCCACCTGGCACTGACATCAATCTTAGTTGCATTATTTATTTTTACTGTCATTAGACAAAAGGGTAGACGGGGTGGGGTACATGTACTTGGGCAGGAGGCCTTGCTTAACTTCTGACTGCTTTGGATAAGGACAACTCTCCTCATCCTGCTCTCATAGCATCAGATACTTTGTACCCAGTATGTTGAAGGGCAGGGGACAAGAGCAACATCCCCCCAGGTTCTCACAGTTTGACCGGACAAGCATCTGCAGGGCTTCATTCTCTCCTTCCCGTCTCCCCTCTCCCCCTCATATCAATGTGATGTTCTCACTTGTGTCCAACTCTGTCCCCCGCATGGGACAGGGACAGCTCTGTAAAGGTGCTCTCTGGTGTCCCTGCTTTCCTTTTGCACAAACTGATGTCAGGCTCACTGTTCCTGGCATGACCAGGGACTGGCACGAAAATGCCACGTGTTACCTTCAGGCGAACTTTGCAATATCAGATACGCCAGCAGCCGTGCTTGGCAGTGGTGGGTTGGGAGAACCCTGCTGCCAGGTAGCCCGTTGGGCCGGCCCAGCTGCCAGTTAGCCCTGGTCCAGGGAGGTGCTGCTCAGCCTCCGGCGATCTCACCCATCCTCATCCCAAATGCAGAGGGTGGCACAGGATGCTCTTCACCCCTCGAGGCCTCGTGACTCCTGCCGATGTCCAGGGTGCATGAGGACAGGAAAGCAAAGCAAGGTGCCTGGCTGTTTATTTGTGTCTCCTGTGAAAGTTGTGTTTAAAGGGATTGTTTTATAGCCCGCTGTATATATTCTCCTGCAGTTACTGACCTTGCCCTTGCCTTTGCATTTATGAAAAGAGGGCAATACATATTTTAGGACATTGTATGTTGTCCTGGACGCTTGGAGTACAACTGGGCATCCCTTGTGCTGAGATGGATCAGGCTTTCGTGTGTCCTTCAACTGCTAATCTGATTTTTTCAACAGCTGCGTAGGGCAACGATGGCTACTGAGTCCCTCTTCACAGATATCTCATTAGCAAAAGATCAAATACAAAAGCAAAACCAAATCTCCAATGACTTGAGATTTCTCAGACTTTCCAGTGGTGGTCTTCCTTCATTTACTGAAAAAGTATTATAATAACCATTCCAGCACTGTATATATTATGTATAGAAGACATCATTACTAAAAGTACTGTAGGTGAATTGTTCTGTCAAATTTATATCTTAAGAACATTTTTAGCTGTTTTCTACATCATAAGAACAGAGGTAACATGCTGAACCTGTATATAAACCTTTTGTACATTAAAAAGTGATTTTTTTCATAATTCCTTGTGCCTGTTGTTATTGTTTTTTATTGGTAATGGTGGTTGGTCTTGGTCTGTTATTGCCACGTCAACACGGTTGGATTCTGGTGGTGCTTAGGAGCAGCTGATGAGGAGCTGGATGGGCCTGATGTGTGAGTCACTGCTGGATGTGTAGTGGTCTTGCTCCCAGTCAACAATGGGATGAGGTGGCAGAAAGAGAGACAGCAAGGCCGGGGTGCTGCTGCACGCACAGCCGTGCTGCCCAGGTGGCTTTTATTTGCCTCCTGGCAGAGGATTTGAAGGAGGATGACAGTGTAGCAGGGACAGCAGAGAAGAAGGGCTCAAAGCAAGGGCTGGAGAAATTTGGCAACCAGAAGATTCACAGCAAAATGGCTTGTTGACTGTCAGTGTCCAAAAGGAGACAGAAATAGGACAGACCAGCAGAGCTGTGATAGGCCATGACAGCAACTAGTTGAATACTGAGTTTGAAGAAAGGAGAAGTGAATCTGTCCGCTCTGTACGTGATGGGAAGCAATGATATGGTGAGCAACAGATACATCGGTCATGATTCAGTTGGGGGGTGGTCCAGCCCAATGATGAGACAGATTTCATTTGACTGCAGCAAGAGTTAGCTCAGCCACTCAAGAGACTGATTTTCAACTTGGCTTCGCAGAGGTGGATTGGTGTGGACAGGGCTAGAGCTTTAAGGGAGAGTGGGGAAGCTGTTCATAGGTGATCCTTATGGGCACAGCAATGAATTTGGAATCAAGTCAGCTATTGAGCAAAGCAGTTGGCCAGTGAATCAGCCATGGCACTTGGTGCAAGTGAACCAGCAGTTTCATGCAGAAGCATCTGAAGGGGATGGCCTCGTTTTCCTCCATGCAGGATCCCTGCTGAGTTGATTGGTAGAATCAGGTAAGTTTGGGACAAATCCTCACCTTACTAGCTGGGTTCCCTCATAGTCCGTGGCAAGAGATTGGCATATCCCAAGACAGAATTAATCTTTCTTATTTTAGACACATAGGATGGGATGGATTTTCCTCTGGAAGACATCTGTCACTCTCCTCATTGATTACAGAGAGACACCGTGTAGCCAGCTTAGATTAGATACCTTCTCCAGGAGGGTGAGATGTGAATCCTGTGAAACTCTTGCACCCATCTAGTCACCCTCAGCACAGTCTGAGGTTGAGCCAGTGAACAAGATGTTGATTAATGTGTTAATGATCCTGTTAGTCCGCAAATCCAGTGGATAAATATCACACCCCTCTGTACTGTCCAAGGACTACAGAAATCACATTACAAAAAATGCAGTTATATTATTAAAAGGAAATTGTTCAGAGCTTTTCTGTTGACAAAAGTCTTTGGAGACTCAGATCAGCTCCTACTGCTTTTCTACTTCAAACATTTAAAGTGGGTTTCTAATCTAGATCAAATGCTGCTTCTAGCTGGAATTTCACTTTAGGGTTCGATCAGGGCACACCTCTGCCTGTGTAAGAACATATTTATTACTTAAACTGGGCTAACATTTCCTAGGAGCCCACCCGAGGTCATGTACTAGCATGTGCATTTTTACTGCGCAGCCATCCTGGAATAAACAGGGATTGAAAGGCTCATTGCTCCAATTGTAAGCAGGTAATAACCCTTCTGCAACAAATGTTGTTTATAAGCCAGAGCTTGGAGTTTATACTACGATGGCAGCTTCATAATATTCAATTAACCTTCTTTTTAATCAATCATATCCCTTATGAAAACAAACCATCCTAACAGGGCTGATTCTGACCCTCTTTGGTGAGTGTTACCTCACTCCACCCCCAAAAGAGGTGGGGGCATAGGAGGAGTAAGATCCCACTCTGGGTAAAACCATCACAGCTCTTTAATATTGCACTAATATCTCAGGTTTTCCTGGAAGGGAGAAAAAGCCCATAAAAGCTACTGTTGCTGGATCTGATTGCACTTACTGAGTACAGAGTCATTCCAACGGCTCTTTATTGCAGTGGTCTCAGTAGGGATGACATAGGAGCTCTTGTTCTTTACGAGCTGTTGGATCTACTTGGAAGAGCATACGTGTTGTAAATAAATGGTGTGTTTTATATTATTGGAAGGACAATTTATGACCAACCAA